TTTACATCCTACGTCCGTTGTTTGAGTGCGTGGCGGAACTGGAATTCGGAGGCCTGTGTAGGGTCACGACGAGGACGAGAGCGATTCGTATAGCATGACCTGTTCATCTGGAAATCCATGTTCGTTTTGACAAACAAGTGCTTCGCCGAAATGCGTATGTGAGGACACTCTTCCATACACGCTCCGTTTTCGAGACTTGGCTTGGTCGCTAGGCAAGACATGATTTGTAGCGGCAACCGGATCCCGAACGCTTTGCGGCGCGTCGAGTTCTTTTTTACATCCTTCTGTGCGTAATTACCTTTTTTTTTGTTGTCTTCACTTCACATCAGCGCTCCCAGCACTAGTGCCGTTTACTCCAACCCGTGGTCACACAGAAGAGCCCCTCTCTACCTTCCCCTCCTGCGGTACTGTGCCTTCGATTTTGAATGCGAGAAAAGTTCAGCACTCTCTTCCCTCTGTGTACACACGAACTAGCGCTATCCACTAGGCCAGGAACGGGAGCGAGAGAAAAAATCAGGGTCGGCTACATCCAACACATCGTCGGAAGTTCGATATGTTCGAACATCTGATTTAGATTTATAGTAACGACGCGCAAAGTACGTAAGCGGTAGATTTTCCCTCGCTATTACCCAGTTCAACGGTTCGTCAGAAAATTGTCTGCTCTCAACCGTTGTCTGTGTTTGACCCCGTTAGCTTCTTGCCTCTCGCTACCTCTATGCCCCTGTTCCGCTGTCGGCTCGCTCGATTTTGCCTTGCAGCGAAGATGCATTGAGGCTCATGAGATGGCATGAATGCACAAGGGCCCAGGAGGATCAACAGGAGAAAGGAAATCTAAAAGAAATGGCCCATGTTAAACTACGACCTACACGGAGAGGGTGGAGTACTGGCTTCATGGGGCAACGTGAGAGTTGACATTTCGTTGTGTGTTAACCCGCACATTTTCCCGTAACTGTCAGAGAAAAATTCCCATATGGGCGAATACACTGAACCCCGAACTATGTACGACGAGCGCCATCAGGAGTGGAGTATTGCTAAGTGGAGTGCTTGTAGTCACACATTGCCTGTGTTCTGGAGGAGGCGCTGACATAGAAGCCCCGACGGCTGCTGCATATCTATGTGGCCGTTGTCGGCTACTAATGAGCGGGGTGTTATCGGAGCGCGTGCGTGCATTTGACGAGAGAGAGAGAGAGAGAGACAAGACAGACTGACAGCGACAGATAGACAGTTTACTATGTCAGATGGTGGGTGGAAACGCTCGGCAGGTTTCCGATTTTATTTCACAGTTCCGAAACAAACGACAACACCAAACTGCTATCTTTTCCCTCCTTTTTGCCAATGACTCAGAATATCAGAGGCTGTAGAGAATCTTGTTGGGCACTGAACGCCAGCGAAAGCAATTACAAGTGCCTAGCCCGGATGGCGAAGAAGGTCACCAAGAGAGTGGACGTCAAAGCAGGGCCCGCGAACGGACACCGGCAGTAACAGCATCAAAAGCAGCAGCAGCAGCACCACCACCAGCAGTGAGAGTGACGCCAACGGTGGCGGATGCAAACATGAAGCCCCCGACATGTTCGACGCCACCGCTGCCTCGTCCTTGTCAGCCGCCACCACCTCAACGTCCATCAAGGAACTGAAAGGGGTCCGGGAGCCCAGCGTTTTCCCTGCTGCTGGCGCTCCAGCTTCGACTGGCGAGAGTTTCAATCAGCCGGGCCAGATAACGTCCGATGATATGGTCACCAAGCCGCGCCAGATAGCGCCAGACGACAAGGCCACTGGGGTGGACGGGAGGGTGGTGGGATCGGAGGGGGCTCTGGGGGCGTCGGTAGAGGGCGGGGTGCGCGGTCAGGCAACTTAAATTTTTTGGAACGTGACTTTAAAGATCGCAGAGCATTCTGAGGAGATGAAGGAGGGTGGCGAGGCGGAAGGCCTCTCGGAGGAGAAAGCTGAGGTGGCGGTGGGGGGTGTTTTTAGTACAGGATCAGAGGCAGGGTTGTCGCGGGTGGTGGCGAAGTGGGAGATTGAAGATGACGGCGAAAGCACTGTGGGGCTGAACAACAAGAAGGTCACTGACTCAACGGCGCCTCGTCAAGCCGGAACGAGGTCCTCTCGCTCGGATGGCACGAGCACCAGGCAAGAAGAATGGCACAGCCTAAGACCCAAACAGTATCGGCTGAAGCAATCTCGATATCGAAACATGTGGATGTCCACAAAGGTCCACACGTGTAACTCTTGTTGGCCCCCGTCAGAACCGGAGGTCAGCCGTCCAGAGACGATAAAATTGACCCCTCTCCTCCTTTGCCATAGAGTGGATGGTAGGGATTCCTTCGTGTTTGAAACCTCTTCGATATAATCAATTCTAGAGGACGTAGGTGGGGAGAATAGGCGTGTTGACTTCGCCAACCCCGACACATCGCTCACGCCCTCTCCTCCGACATATGCCTCGGCCTACTTGCACTTCGTGCCGATTCAATTAAAAACATTGCCGTGCAGGGGGAGCGATAGAGCACGCAGCTTAATAGCTCACCGAACCCTTCCCGCGCGCGCTCGCCAACCGAACTCACGACCCGTGAAAAGAGTCTTGGGGCCATCCACCGTCTGATATTCAAGCCAAATACAGGTTCTCACGAAGAACGAACCATTTGTCCTCTTGACCCTGTCTCATTCCCTCCCTTCGCCCGCCACCATGACGATTCGTCTGTTGCAGTGTCGACCCCAACAGGTTGGCGACCCTCGCTATCGTCATCTGTGAGCGTTTCGTATAGACCAATCATCTCCAATGCTCGTCATTGGAGCTGAACAAGGCGTGCGGACGCGTATCGACTTTTGTCGTGACAGTCGGCGAAAGTTGCACGCCGCTGGCTCGCCTGGCTCGCAGCAAGAAGCACAACGAGGTGCGAGTGCGCCCGGCTACGGCAGACAAACGATGACCGTGCCAGGCGTCATGCCAACGGCAAGAGTATCACGAATCCGACCGTGCGGTCTGCGGTGGTGCCTGGCCCTCGAGGTGCTCGGACAGAGTGAAGTTGACTTGGCTTGCGTTCGTTACCTGGGAATCCTTCCGCCGATAGACTATTCGGAGCCTCCGTTGGATGGGCTTGAGTTGCTGGCGTCCCTTGAGCACCTGGAGATTGGTGAAATGCGTATCCCCGCAATCGCGAGGTGTCAAATCGCCGGCGACCCTCAAGCACCTCCAAGTCGGAATTGTTTTCTCCTGGGTTCCCGTCGGAATCGCCGAATTCGCGTGGCCGTCTTCGCTTCAGCGGCTTCAGTTGTTTCAGTTGTTCCTTCAACCACCCCCCTAACAGGAGTTGTGTTTGCCGCCCTCGGCGCGTATGCGATTGGTATTCTACAAGTCGATGTACGAATCTGATTCTAGCGTCGTCAGATGATGCACATCGTGCAACGAATAGCAGCCGCTCTTGACAATTGAGAAGAAAACTTTCATTGAGAAAATATGCTTTTGGTCGGGGCATACAAAACGACCGATACGTTTCTTTCCTTCCAACACTTGACGAACAAGCCACGCCATCTCGATCGAGGAGTTGCACGCCGTGCAGGCAAAGTGGGTGGAATGCCGGAGTTGATCGCGCGATCCTCTTTGTTACCATTTTTGGAACGTTTGTTTTGTTGTGGCCGAGATTGAACTGTGTGTTTTGCTTCTCTCTATTATTTTCTGGAATTTTTCTTGATTTATTGCGGGCCCGTTATTTCCGCTGTATATATAGCCATAGGGAGAGATGCGGCCCACGAGGTAATTTTCGGTGAACGCGTTGAAGGAAAATAACGGTAAATATACTGAACAATCGCGCGCAAGAGTAATAATCCAGGCGGGTTCGCAAGTGAAGCGTCCCTGTTGTTCAAGGGCATGTTATGATCGGGACCGAGGAGTTTGGCAATGGACGACAGGCGGTGTCTTTCCCTCCTTCTCCTTTGCTGTTGTTGCTGCGTTAGGCGGCAATGCTTCTCCACCACCAGTGGTCACACGCGCAGCAGCAGGCAGTGCTGCAGGCCTTATGACCTTGACCTTGACCTTGACCTTGCATGATGATAGCGGACACGTCCTCGAAGCAGTATTTGGGTGTACGGAGCTCGCGGAAAGCATGTGTGTGAATGTGTGAATCCATCTGTTTCTACCCTCTTCTGCGTTTTATCATCTCGGATCACGAAGATCCAGATGCTGAACCTCAAATAAATTGAAACAGAGAGCCGCCAAACGTTTGGCGGGGGTCGGATGGCTGTAAATGAAATGTTCTCGAACAAAAATACAGACCCGCCAAAAGTTGCGGCCTTCTGAGATGTAGTGTGATCCGACCCCTGAAACGCTGTGGACCTGTAGCCATGGACCTTTTTTCACTGTTTTGGGTTTTGGGAATGTTCTACAGTCGGCAATCAACCTAAAACTACTCGTAGAAACGGCAGCGTGAGACAGAAGCGCACGACAAAAAGATGGTAAGCTATAAGTAAGCAATCGGTCAAACCAGCCTGTACATGACAGGAGAAGGTACACCTCGTCAGCGAGAGGTGTTCACCCGCCTACCAAAACATGACAAACAACACATGATGATCATTTTGATGACGCTGGTTTTGCGGCATGTTCACCGCCCCGCAGTGTAAGAAGAGTGTCCAGCCAGTGTAGACCTTGACAACACCACCACACGTTTTGAGTGTCTTGTCACGACGAACATTTTGTCTACCATGTGCGCCTACAGATAAACTCGTTTCGTGGTTTGACCAACTTGTAAACGGTTCCGAGCAGTGTGTAATGCTGAATAGCGATACGAGAGCGATACCTGTTGCAGACTGCTGCAGTTCCTCATTTGGCCCCAACGAAATCTTCGTATCTTCGTCGTTTTCGCTCCTTCCGGTCTGAACAGTCTCATCAGCAATCGCTCGCCCAATCAGATCGAGACACCGCATGAAATTCACGGCACGTTCCTCCGCTTCTCTCACCAGCCGTCCAGCCGTGCGGCCTCCCTCGCACATACGCACCCCCAGACCGAGACCAATACCAAGACACAAGAACCCAAGAGAAGGAGGCGAGGAAGACAACTCGGGCGCGTCGAAATCCAGGACAAGCGGGATACCAGACGCTGTCGTGCTGCGCTTGCAGATTCTCGAGAGGTGAGGTGTACATAGGCATATGTTGCCGCGGCTGCAGATTTTTGGCGTTGTTGCAGTCTGCCGAAGCAGCAGCAGTAACCCCTGCAGAGATGGACGCTAGTTACTTGTAGCTCGTGAGCCCTGGCGGTGTGGTTCGGAAGAAGAAGGCGGGAATACTGCCTTGGTGGCTGCCCTCAGGATGTGTGCACACTGCTACTGCAGTATTCTACGCGTGCATCATGACACAACTGGCACACACGCCCATAGTGTGCGATCGAATTTGCAAATTCGTTTTCTCAGGCCTGAACCAGCGCGCAACCCGATTTTGCCTCCGCGAGACTGCTGCCTGCTGGAAATCGTGTCAGCAAGCCACCATAATCTTGTCCTTACGCCCAAAGTAGTGTTGCCTTGATCGCAGCTATCCTATACAACCCTTTTGAATCGACCTTGTTGCCAGGATGTATGCGGATGTCTCTGGCGTGCGAATTTGCGTCTACAATGTACTGCTGTTGAACGACGCTGGTGCGAATTCGCGGCGAGGTTTGTGCGTACATACAGCAGGGCCTCCTTTTGAATCATATCCCCACATCCCCACTCCTGCTCCTGCCGTTGACTCTCACGCAGAGCTGGACAACATCATGGGTCTTCAAGTACAGCAGCAACGACAACAACAACAACACAGCTGGGAGCGATTGAACTCTCCTTTGCGCGAAAAGAGCGTCAACAACATGAGGCGTCACAGGTCGGCCCCAACGCCCAAGCAACGCACGCCGACCACGAGGACCGTTCCAGAACCAGTCCTCCTCCACCAGCCCAAACAGCCGGCTACATCGCATGCGGCGGCACCCACGGCGCCAGTGGCGGCGGGTACCAGCACCTCTGGTTCCACTGCTGACGACGATGATGCCAGAGGCCCGCTTGGCTTTCCCGAGCCGAGCTTCTCGCCGGCCCTCAAGGTCGTCGACTGCGACAGCTTCACCCTCGTCTCACAAGCGACTGGGCGCCGCTGGAGGGCGATCGACTCCTCTAGAGAGTGCCAGTTCGGGGAGGTACTGCGTGCTGTAGAGCTGTCGGACGAAGCTGGGGCACGGCCGGGGTACTTCGCTATCAAGGTATGATGTACGTTCCAATGCAGCAAGTACCCTCTGAAAGCGCCCCATGTTGAAATAAGACAGCTTGTCTGAGGCAATTTGGTTTGAAGAGCAGTACATCTAAGTATCATGAGTCCAACTGCATGCCACGTGTGTAGCATAGTAGCCCGCAAGTCTTTGCGTGTGCTTTCCCTGGTAAGCAGGCAGAATCCGCTTGAGTTGTGATTGACGCGTTCCTGCCACCCTTTTCAATACACGCGCCGTCTGTGTCAATTGCTCACGTTTTTGTCAGGAGCTTAGCTTGGGCCATCTGCAAGAGATGCAGGGAAAGACCCTCGAGGATCCGCTGCGGGAGGTGTCCGCGCTGCAGTACCTTCCCAGCCACCCGAACGTCCTCACTTGTACCGAGGTCAGGAAGATCGTGGCGGTGCATCTGCAATATGCTGTGCTATTCGTTACCCTCCGTTCCATGTTTTCACTGAGACACTGATGCATGCAGCGCGAAGTGTTGCGAAGAGTTGACAAATTGTTGTGCTCAACAGCAGCAAGCAGTGTTTCTGGTGACGTTGTGTCCCGAAACATGCGTTTTATTTTATTTCACCCTTAACACGAACTTCGTATTTTGATGTGCGGGCTGAGATTTTTTTTGTGGCTTCCATTTGGAACCGCTTTGAATACAGGCGCTCTTGGACGAGAACAGCATTTATATAGTGATGCCGTTCTACAGCGGAGGCGAGGTTTTCGACGTGCTGATGGACAGCGGCCGATTTGAAGAGGACGAGGCGCGACTGCTGCTCCGCCAGGTGCTGGACGGACTACTCCACCTCAAGAGACACGGAGTCTGCCACCGGTGAGCGGTGTGCCGTACTGTACATCGTCGCTGTGCTGTGTTTTCTTCAGCAGCAAGTAGAATGCCTTTCAGAATCGAAAAGCTGAAAGAGTGTAGTGTTGATTGGTGGCGAATCGGACAACACCAGGTTTGTAACTCGGTTCCGTAAAAATGAACATTTGTGCATGCTGCCTGAAACTTTGAAATGTGGCCCGACATACCGGCACCGGTGACTTGTTGTGTACTCGTGCCTTCACAACGTTCTTCGCGTCGCCTCATCAAGCACGTTCCGCCCCCGTGGCGCTTACAAAGCACATCCCACCCCAGCGGCATCAATTGTCAAATGTTGCATAACGTGTCGTTCGCCTCCCCAGGGTATGGGAGAGGATGTTGCTGTATGGGAGGACACCAGGACACCCGATTCTTCTGTAGCTTGTCTAAAGATCTTTGGTTGTGCCGCATTTTATTCTCTTGTGTGTTCTGACACCATCCTTGATCACAACTGTTGTTTGCTCACCTGTAAAGTTACCTACTCGCGCATTTTTTTGTCGCCGTCCCTTTTCGTTGGATGGACGCTAATATGCAGGGATGTGAGCCTGGAAAACCTAGTGTTGACCGAGGAGGGTGTGGTGAAGCTTGTTGACTTTGGGCTGGCATTGCGCATCCCCCAGAACGAGGACGGCAGAGCAAGGACTATTCCGCCCCAGGGCGTGTGCGGGAAGCCGCACTACATTGCGCCCGAGGTGTTGGCAAGTTCAAGCTCGAAGAGCGGATTTGACGGGTTCGCGGTGGATGTGTGGGCTTCTGGCATCCTTCTCTTCGTGTGAGTATTGTGTTGGTGATCCTGCTGCCAACTTGTCGGACTTGTGGGTGGCTGTTTGTGTCCTGCAGGAGTCGCTTGCTTCATTTTGGATTGAATGAACTACTCCCGCCCATCTAGTGTGCCTTGTCATGGAGAGCTTAAACCATCGAGTCGTACAAACTAACGCCACGTTGTCGAACTTTGGCGCCTGCCCAGCAGGATAGATGTTGATTGGTGGCACGTAGTAATTGGCGACAGCCTCGCTCTAAATGACTCCCCCCATCTCCCGAATTTTAACCCTCCTCCCCCCACCACCCCACTCCATTTCCGTGCGCCGCAGCATGCTGACGGGCGTTGCCCCGTTTGAGGTGGCTCTTCCTTCCCACGATGAGCGACTCCACACTGTTGCTGTGAAAGAGAATCTCGCGGAACTTCTGTCGACGTGGAATATTTCGTTGTCACCAGAGGTGAATGAGGGAGAGCCTCAGTCTTCCTGCCTTCGCTACATGCGCGGCTCGTGTCGGAGCGTGATTGTCTCGCTCACCCCAATTTGATGTGCCGCTGTAAGGCTGCCGTTCAGCGTTGAAAACATCCTTTCGGTGCGCTACTCGCTCGTTTGTTTGCTTTCCAGTCGAAGGTATTGTGTATGGAAAATGAAATTCCTAGCGCCTCTTCGCTGCCCGCCCAATCCGACAGCAGTTTTCCGTATATTTTATGGTACGCATACGCATATTTTGGTGATGTCCTGCGGACTTTGGACCCCTTCTCTAACGCGCCCTGCGCCCCCCCCTACCTCCGCTCCCCACACTCGAAACATCAGGCGACTGATTTGATTCAGTCGTGCCTGCTGTTCGCCCCGGAGAGACGCCCCAGCCTCGAGGCGCTTGCCAACCACGATTGGCTCAACGCGTGAATCAGGCTGATGGTTGCCGTTGTACTTATGTGTGTTCCTGGCTGTGACCGATCCCACCTGCTCCACTTCAGAACCGGGCGCTAACTGAGATTGACCCGGACAAGGGGAGCAACCGGGCGACTATTTCGTAGACATCTGCTTTGTGTTGTTGCGTATGCTGATGCTACTGATGTTGTAGGGCATGATGAAGGAAAGGGTGGTGTGTACGTTGGTGGGACAGTGTGTTTGACGCCCGGCGTGACTAATGAACCAAAAACCCCGGTTGTGCGCTGATGAGACAAAAGTAGTTACCGAAAATATGGTTACTTTACGAGTGCGTGTCGACGGGGAGGGTCTATTCGTGCCAATTTTGGCGAGGTTTTATTTCCTGTTTCGCCTCTTGCATGGTGAACGGGTACTTTGGCCATAAAGATCAACGTTGCCGGTGGATCTTTGTATGTACAAGCAAGTGTTTGAGGAGGTGCAGGTTGTTTGTGTTTAAGAGGGGGTGGAATTCGTTCCTGCTGAACCACGTTTTTGTATTATTTCACTGAACACCGTCAAGACTAGTGGAAAATAACAACCTGACGACTCGAGTGGCGCCGCTTTGGCCTTTGATTGTTTTTGTTTCGTTTTTTCTTCGTCTCGCGTGTCAAGCGTGAGCGATAGGCTCTATCTTTACATCTCCTTTATTGGACAGTCGCTCGCGACGTCTCGCTGTCTGGGGCCTTGTGTTAGTTTTTGATTTGATTTTTTTTCTGGCTTTTACTTACTTTTTATCGGCTGTTGAAGTATGTACATATCCTCTAGGGTAGTTGGCCCGTGACCACGGTAGGTGTCCGCGCCGGTTCGGACGTTAGAAGGTACTGATCAGAGATCGAAAGGGGTCGTGATATTAAGACAACAACAACAGATTTGCGGGAAACATGTCATGTATGAAATTTCATGTACGGTGGTAGTACCTGTGCCGCGTCTGGACAGCTCTACACGGGAGGCGGTGTGCTACGGTAGTATCTTGAGTTATTAATATCACTCATCTACCGCCGGTTGGATATAGCGGACAGCCTTAGGTCAAGACTGTTATTGGTGCAAGCGTGCGTTTGGGAGCTAAGAGATGGGATATAAAATCGACGTCGTGAACCGAGCGTGCGCGTCTACGGAACATGCGTCTTCCATCGACGACTTCGTGCGCGGGATGTTGTTTGCGTTCAAAACAATATTCTATAGCTTCGTATCTCGCTAGGGTTATCTGTCTGGTGTGAGAGTGCAAATACCTGGTTTTATGAGTGGTAGGCAATGTCCCAAGGTGTTGCCGGGCCTGGCTAATTTTTTTTTCTCTGGACACTGGTCGTACCGTACATGCTGGATGTTGATAAAAGAGTGGTATGCTGTTGGATGTTTATCAAGCAGGGAAGGGAACCGCATATTTTCAGTCAACTGGAAGTGCGCCCCAGAAACCTAAAGATGCGAAACACGTAGGGCGATAAACGCGAAAATATCGGTCCCCAACGCGTCTTAACGCTCATGCAGGAAACACCAACGGAATCCAAATGCATGTAATTATTCCATATCTGCTACAATAGTTCTACTTTCTACAACGAAACGGCAAACGGACCGAAGCTCTGAAGATCCATCGTGACGTAGTTCTAAATTAGACGGGCCGGTATCCAGCATCTGGTTTGTGGGCAGAGGATAAGGTCAGAGAACGAGTAAGGTCGACACACCCGGCTACAAATCAATTCGTTTCTCTATTCTAAGGCACGATGTGCCGCCACAGACTCCACGTAGGTTGCAAACGACCTCGACAGCGTTCCGTTCAGCACGGCCGGGGCGTGCCGTAGTCCCCTGATGAAACCTTCGACGCCATACGCCACCTCTTCCAGCTCGACAACGCGGCGCTGGTCCGTGGCCTCTTTCGCGTCGCCAATTCTTCCATGCAACAACCCCGTTAGCCTTAACAAACGCGCCAAAACATCTGTAGACACGTCCGGCGAAGTCCTGTCTACCCTCGCCACGGCTCGTGGCGCAGTCACGCTCAAGGAGTACCAAAGAGCGCAGCCGTGGGCTGTGCCCCATGCGCCACACCCCAACAAAGCGTCCGACCTTTCACCCACAATGAGGAGTCCTGTGTTCGAAGGTTCCCAAATGTCCGTCGCGCCGCCCGCAAGCGCTGCGGCGCGCACCACGCAGCTCTCAGGGAGTTCAGCCGTGTCGAGCAGAGTCACCAACCACTTGCCCGCCGCGGCAGTGGCATTGATGCGTTTGAGCGCTTCCGCCAGACGTGGCAGGACAGCTGCGCTAGCCTTCCTATCGGTGCGTATTCGGGTCGCCCACCGGGCCACAGAGCCGAGCGCCTTAGCGGTTACGATGGTGGCTGCGACCGACGGACGGGAGGATCGTGAAAACATTCCACCCGTTGAAAAAACGGTGCTGGCTTCACCCGGCGGTGTCAACCGGGTAGTGAGGTACTCCCGGAGGCATTCTTCGCAAAGTTGGACGGAGGCTGTTTTCGTATTGGTAGCGCCAGGTTTCGAGGCGATAGCGTCCTGTACCTGCTCCCAGGGAAGGTGAGAGAGCAAGCCAACCAACGCGTCCCAAAAGGGAGCCTCCTCGACGTCCAGATCGAAGCGCGACAGGTCATCTCTGGTGCAAAACGCATGTAGGACAGAAGGCCAAAACCTTGTCAGCGTCATGCTCTCGACCTCGCCACGAGTCCCCGCTGCTACAAGAGTACTCATCCCAGACAAGAAAGCCGCTGCTTGACTGCTTCCTTCCTTGCCATCTACCACGACGCCTTCCCGCTCCGGACCCGAAGCCCTCGACCAGGAGGTAAAAAAGCGGGGGGTGATGGTATCCCAGAGCTTCTTGGCTAGGTCCTTCCCTATCTCCGATGGCAGCTTTAAAAAAATCTGATCGAAAACCGCGACGAGATGATGCTGCACGTCGCGCGGGAGATTCACAAAGAACGGCCTGTCGAACAGGCCGCGGAGCCAGGTCGAGTAAGCCTGTTCCTTGTCCGCAAGCGCAAGGCCTAACGATATGCACTTCACCTGGACCTCCACCCCGTGGCCGCCCCTGAACAGCGCCTCGATCACTATAGCCATTTGTGGATGCGGTATTCGGAGAGTGGGGCAAAACGTTAGGCTTGCCATCGCTGATGCCGCGAAGAGTGAAGATTGAACCGGAACAACTGCCTTGTAGTTTTCCGCCTTCGTGTCGCCATCCTCGATGTCTTCCAAACCTGTTGCGATGGACTGAAGCCCGGTCAACACCACGTTCATCAGTGTACCATCCTGAGCCACGCGCAAAGCGCCCGGTCTGATCGAGGCGGTGGCGGGGCCACTGATACCATGTGTCCCGCCGTCCTCCGTCCACCCAAGCGACGCTTGCAAGCTCGAGTTTCCCACGGATCGCTCGTCCTGGCCGAGCGCAGATAAACACCCCCACACCCGCGCTGCGGCGTTCTTCAGGCGGATCGATGTGCCCTGCATTGCCTCAAGCACGTCTTGCAAGAGGGTGTCCACCATTCTTCGATTCGTGATGGAGGTGACACGCAGTCGCCTTGGGACGAGCTCGCCAGGGGCCATCAACGGGCAGCCAATCAAAGATGCAAGCGCCAACAAGGATGCCACGCGGACGCCGCTATTCGCGCCTCTCCGATGCGCCGCGGCCTTCCGCAAGCTTTCGAACAGTGACTCAGCGAAGCCAGGCGGGAGAACCACCTTACCCTCGCAGACAACAATGAGACCGGCCGCCCCGAGGGACGTGTCTTGTGCCGGTAGTTTTTCACTCCCAGATGGATTGGCGAGGCCGTCAAGACTGACACTTACCGACCGCAAGCACGTGAGAATTACCGGAGCATCAACAAGACCGCATGATATGCACTCCGACGCAGCAGCAGCAAGGCAAAGCGTAGCCCCGCACAACCCCGCCAAAGGCTTCAAAGCGAGGGCCTGTACAATGCTGAACACCTGTTTCCGAGGGGCCGGAAGGAGTGGGGTGGGCGCAGGACGTGGTAAAGGCAGGATGACACGTTTAGACGCATGGGCACCCCTCAGGAAGGGCAAAGGGTGTTGTCATCCAAGGTTAGTTTCGGGGTGGGGTAGACCAAGAGGCAAGCATGCGAGAAAACATAAAACTTCATGGACCTTTCACAGCATAATCTCAATACTATCTTCTTTGATGTTGACTTTTCGCAGCAAAACAAACAAATAGAGTCATCCTTTCTCACCTGAAGAAGCTCCGAATGCAGGCCCGTAGCACGGAGCCCGGGTAAGGAGGAAGAAAGACCTAAGAACAGCGCCAAACAGATTGACCCCCGCGTTGTGGTGGGCAATCCTATCTCCGAGTCTTCCCAGTGAATGGCTTGCCCAATATCTACGCTCTCCCAATCCACGACCGCAGCCCGATCTTCGCGGGCCGCTACGCTCCCGTTTCCCCCGAACCACGTCTCGACAATGGCGTGTATATGGTCCGATCTAACCGCATTCGCCAAGCCCGCGAGCAAGCACCGCACGGCACGCAAGACCGCAATCCGGGCCCCTGGAGCTGTAGGATGCCGAAGTCCCCACTCAGATGCCACGCCGACGGCCACACAGGACCAAAATGACTGAGCCTCGTTCGGAGTCATGGCCTCCCCAACTGCCGCCGCCGAATCTCGACTCGTTGTCCAACCTTCCACTGCCGTGCTGTGAAAGCGTTCAATCTCCTCGAGAGTACTTTCCACGAGTGTGGTAGAAGCTTCGGGAAGAGCCCGTACTGCCATTGCCGCGCAGAGAGGGAACATTTCCTCGCCATCCAATAGAGTCTGGGCACCTCCCGTACATCTGCGCAAGCGATCCACAGCGCGGCCAGTCTCTACCACGGCAACATGGTAGAATGAAGCCGGGACGCAGCTGGCCAGGCTCGCAGAAGCAACGGCGACCAGCCCTCCTTGAACTCCGCGAATATTACCGATTGCTTGACGGCAAGCTTCCACGGCCGCCGCCGTAACATCTGTGCCACCACGGGCCTCTCCTCGCCCGGCCGCTTCAGTGGACTCTGCCGCGACACAAGCAGCAAATAGCCGTGCCACGTATCGCTGGATGCCACTGAGAGTACCAGCTCGCTGCCATGGGCAAAGCGCCAGCCCGCCTCCGGTTCCTTCTACCGCCATCAACTCGCCGAAATCACGAATCATGATGTCTCGGTGCGCTACAACTGCCGTCGCCTGGGGTGTAGGGTAGCTCCACAACACCGCGCCGGCTAGACCGGGACAAGACGAGTCATCCTGACGAAATCCCTGAAGAACACTCTCCGGTTCAGGCAGAGCTGCCACGAGGCGGTTCGAGGGACCCGGCCTCACGCTCCTCTTTTGTCCACCGTCACGGCTGGCCCCGTCCCGCTTAGCCGATACCCATGTAGACGGCTCGACACTCTCTTCGGCCACCACGATTTGCACCACTTTCCGAAGATTCGACTGAACCATAAAGCTTCCGTCGGTTGACATGGCTTGTGCAAGGAACACCCGGACGTGTCGGGCTGCAACGATGGCTTCTTCCTCCGCGTTCTTGCCACTCACAGCTCGCAGGAGTGCAGGGAGGTGAAACCCGAGAGCCTCATAAACGGCTGAACGGACGCCGTCGTCGGGATGACACCCAAGGCCCCCCGCCAAGAGAATTTCTACAGCCTTCCCCATACCCCACCCCAAGTCACTGTCCTCGCCCGACCCGTCTGAGCCCG